CGTAACATAAATAGTGAAAAGTGGGTGTTACATTATACAGTGGCATAATGTGCACCTCTGACTATCCCTTCGGGGATAAAAGGCGCGATGTTATGTTATGTTTTTTGTCAAAGTTTGATGTGAAGTTTTTGTAGTAGGTACATAATAAAATTTTCGACAGTGTTGTTAGTTGATAGACAAGTGTAAAAACCTGGATAAGTATCTTGAAACTGATGTGCACGTAGGTGATCGAGGGTGATGGTGATCGAGGGACACATTGCTATGTGTAGTGTGTGTTCCTAACTCTGAAACTGGAATCGTGACTTAGTTTGTTGGTCGTACAAAAACACAATCTCGGAAACCCAGTTAGGAGTTTTTTACATATACCAAATATCTAATGTTTAAATTATTTAGTGTGTACGAATTACTTGACTTACATTGTTCTCGTGACACACATAACATTGTTTACTAATAACACAATTTTCTAACAAGCCCTCCGAACATAATCGCACCGTAAGCTTTTATCTGGCTGACAATGTATTTGGGTCATGCATGAACAAAATGCTTTGAAAGGCAAAAATAATAAAGACAAATATTTAACTAGAATATGCTAATGTGTCCTACCTTAATAAGTTTTAGAAAATATTGTAACCGAAAACTCTTTTTAATTCCATTTCCATAATCAAATAGAGGTTTTATTGCCAGCCTTTTCCGAAAAAAAAGTCATAAAGACATTGTTGTAGATAACCAGAATTAGAATACATTTTAACATACTTCGTTGGTACACTGTACGCACAATTATCTTGAGACTACATTTGACAAAAATGATAGTTAATAGAACCTATTTAGACAAAAATGTTTTTAAAGATAGAAGATCTCAAGTCAACCACACATTGTCGTCACCATTTCGCTCGAAGGTAAGTGACACTTATTACGAAGATGAAAAGAATTTATTTCTTGTTCACAAAAATATTAGTGAATGGCGGACTTAATGCCTTAAGGCATCTCTGACAGTCAACCATAGGGAAGTCCAGATAAATGAAGCGGTTGATGCGAAGCCAGAACACAATAAAAAAAGTCATTGTTAGATAATTATTATATTTTAACAATGCTTAACCAGCGAAAGTTATCAGTCTCTTCTCTAGTCTCTTCTACATGAGAGTCAAACTGACTTAGGACTTAGAACTTAGACTTAGAACTTAGAACTTAGACTTAGACTTAGAACTTAGGTTTTAGCTTACGAAGTCGGGTCTAGATTTCCATAAGCCCCGTAACAAAACCTAAATCAGGAAAGAACACTAAAATTTAGAATACCAACCACAACTTAATGAGGTATTAGACTTATGGTAGCATTTTTTAAACATTGCTCTACACTAGGATTTTCTCCTGTATCGTGGTTGCGTTTACAACGATACAAATTCACATACACATGACATCCAAACCCGAAACAACAATTTGTGGATAACACAGAGAGTTGTTCCGTGCGGGAATCGAACCCGCGACACGTTGCTCGGCCGCTGGTTGCCCAGCCACCGTACCAACCATTTACGTACGATAAAGTAGGTTTTAGTTTTTCCACACCAACTGTATAGTAAGAATGTAATAACAGTCGACTACTAAGGGACTATAGACAGAAATCGGATAACAGCAATCTCTATTTTTTTTAATGGGACAATCCCGCCGCTACCTCCCTACACCTCTGCAACTCTTGTAAGCCAGGAACATGAATAACAGTCTTGGTTCCCGCAACGAAGTGAATCAGAAGATATTATAAGAGGAGAAGAAAAAAAAAACAATCTCCAATATGAAAAAAATACATTGTCCAACCGTGCACTATCAGGACCTTGATTTGTTTTTAAGAAACGTGGATTGTGTTACTTACCTAATCTAATGATACCCAAGTTATGTTACCTAAGACACCTATATTACTAATACGTTGAGTATTGACGTAACATAACATCACGCCTTTAATCCCTGAAGGGGTATGTAGAAGTGCACACAGAAGTAACACCCACTTTTCATTATTTATGTTATGAGTCCCATGTAATAGGGGGTGAGCCTATTGCCATATACCGGGCACAATTCCAGACTCCGTGCTAATACTGAGAAAAACCCAGTAATAAATTGCCCGATCCGGGAATCAAATCAAATCATTTATTTGCATAAAATGTAGGTAATTAGAAATAGGTTGTTACAGATATAATATAGTAGCCGTATACATTTTGCCCGTTTATTAGCATGCAAAATATTCGAACCCGAGACCCCTTTCCCGGCAGTCGCACTTGCGACCACTCGGCCAACGAGGCATTCTTTGGCAGAAGAAGGCAAATTGAGTATTGATTTCAATAAAATTAGTTATTAAAGGAAAAAATATGTAATATGTCTCGGAACAATAACTAAAGCATTATGTAGTCGTAAGTAGAAACCGCATTGGTGATCTAGAAAAACCTTTATGCGACGAATGGAAAATAATGTTTTCTGCATAGAAATGTGGTGTAACCTCGGTCGAGTTTTAATTTATTGTGAATAAATAATGCATGAGCAGCCAATCAGAAACTGAATAATAAATTAGTTTTGAATATTTGATGTCTATGCAAGTCTCGTTTTGTGTGGTAGGAAAATTAAATATGCAGTTCTCAGAAATAGTATAACTCTCAGAAATCTGTAGGTATATTATGTAAGGTGATTAACTAAACTTAGTTCTAAAGAAAACTACTTACTACTAGTAAAATATAACATTGTAATCCCTGAAGTATTAAATAGGTCGAAAAACCATGTTAGATTTAGAACTTGCTTACTTTTTGTCAGTCATACCCTTCAGAAAATAAATTATTGTTGTCTTTATAATAAACTACCAGATCTCCGCGACTACGTCCGCGTGGAATAATGATTTTGGATAGTTCTTTACAGCTCTTCTCCCGTCAATTAAAGCGGGATAATAATTATGTAGCCTATATGTTGACCTGGCCTGTTTTTAATATTCATGCAAAGTTTGAAGTTAATCTATGCAGTACTATTTGATTTTAGCCTGGACATAAAAACAGACTAACAGACAAAAATTCTAAAAACTATATTTTTGGCTTCGGTTTTGATTGTAGATCACGTTCCGAGAATTCATATAAAAAATTATTCAATGTACACTTTTGACTTTTCTACGATTTTCTTATATGCATAGATAATTTGTAGTGAGACATACTGTACTGAATTAACTAAAAATGACGAGGTACTCACGTAAATATATTGAGAACAGTTCTACTAGTTTCGAATCACAGAGGAACTCTTCCGCATTAGCAGCGTGCAACTATGTAGTATAGCAGCTTTTCTCAGTATATTTACGTAAGTTCATTTTTAGTTAATTAACATATATTTGATAAAAAGCACAAAATTCAAAATTAATTAAAAAATATGAAACAGTTCAGTTAACAGGTTGAGGCAAAGAAAAGACGCTGTTCAATTATTTGCGCCGTGTACAAAACAAAAAAGTATGGCTTCGTGCCAAGCAGTGAATTTTCTAAGCAGTTTATTTCTCCCTTAAGCCTTTGACTGCCAACAGAAAACTGTTGAGGGTAAATCCTCCGCTATTGTGGTCCACACCTTGACCCCCATGGCGTTCAAGGTGTTAACGAAGCTTGATGTGCAGACGCCGACATGTCAACCTAGTCCAATCTGTCATATTTTTACATAGAATTTTCGACTTTATTTATTACTAGCTTTTACCCGCGGCTTCGCTCGCGTCACAAAAGGATAAAAAGTAACCTATGTGACATATAACAATACACACAGCGCCATCTATACTAATACTTTTGTTTTCCCTCGGGAATATCATTTTTTTCCTTGATAAAAAGTACCCTATTATTTAATCCGGACTTTTAACTTTACGTCTGTAAAAATTCAAAGCAATCGGTTTAGTAGTTACGGCGTGAAAGCGGAACAAACAAACTCACTTTCCGATTTATAATATTAGTAAGGATTTTACTAGCTTCTGCCCGCGACTTTGTACGCGCATTCCCGTTTTTTCCCGTTCCCATAAGATTTTCAGGATGTTTTTCTATCATAAGAACCTTCTCCTGACAATAACAAATAAAACAAAAAAATCAGTCAAATCGGTCCAGCCGTTCTCAAGTTATGGTGTGACAACAGGAAACGGGTTTCATTTTTATATATAGGTATATAATAGATTATTACTAATTTTTAACAAAGCAATATAGTTGAAAATAAATAACTACTTAAATTTTTTGGCATAAACAATTGTATTGTTTAACTTGTTGACGCGACATGCAGTATTAGTTTATGAGTAGTTTTTATTTATAAACATCTATATATTGGTGGGCTGAGTAAATTTATTTAAAAATAGGTAAGCTACTAAAATACATACCACAGCAAAACTGTGGAATGATCTGTCGTCGGCGGTAATTCCGAACCGATACGAACTTCAAACCTTTAATAAAAGAGCGTACTTCTTTTTAAAAGGCCGGCAACACACCTGTGACTCTTCTGGTGGTGCGGGTGTCCATGGGCGGCGCTGATCGCTTACCATCAGGTGATCGGTCTGCTCGTTTGCCTCCTATTCCATAAAAAAAAGAAAAAAAAAAGCTAGCTCCATAATAATAAATCTTATATTACATTTTTTATGGCATAAGCCGGTAAACGAGCACACGGATCACCTAATCGTAAGCAATTGGTGCCGCCCATGGACACCTGGAACACCAGAGGCGTTACAAGTACGTTACCGGCCTTTTGAGAATTAGGAATTTAAGGATTTTGGAGGATTCGAAGATTGGGGAGACTGGGGAGAGGGGATAATTTGACCTCCGGTAACCTCACTCACACGACGAATCAACCCAAACTTTGTTTCACTTTGGTTCTCTGTTAGTCTAGACGTTTGCCTAGCTAACCTAAGCTAAGGTATTCTTTAACGTAGCTTCATGTGTACACTTCTACGTAGCTATGGGTACGTAAAAATACGGGATAATATATATAATTTTGGTCATCTAAAATAAAGGAAAAAAATCACGAATATTTGTAGAAAACACATTTATTTATTTATTAGATATTTTGTACTTAAAGTACTTAAAATATTTACAAATGAAATCAGTATAAGAACGATCCATTGAAACTATACAAACAGCGAACTAGAAATAACGTGTTTAGACTATTGTCCGGTTAGATTTGTTTAACATAAATATTTATTGATTTATAATTATTTATTAATATCTACAAATAACCACTGGCAACCCTGTTTCATTCTATTACATTGGCAACTTTAAGTAACATCAAAATACTCAGTAATAAAATTATTTACATGACTCATAAAATATTTTATTTTTTATTTTAAAAATAATTTATTGTGCTAACAGACAGGTAACTCTGTAATTGATAAAGTATCTATTTTATTATTAAAATATATTTTAGTATATTTTTTTTCATGATGGAATTAAAATGAAAAAAATATTCTTATTGTATTTTATTAGTTCATAGCCTTGAGTAAAATGAGGTCATCGAGACGCAAATTCTAGACAATATTGTTTATGGTTCATAATTCTTTTTTTAAAGAATAGATTACAGTTCTTAATGAATCGTAATCGATAAAACTAACTGTGATTTGACTAAGTACCATCCGTTAAAAATGTTAAGAACTTCATAGGAAAGATAATTTTCTTTCTATGTTTGAAGTAGTTTTTTTTAAAACTAGTTTTTTTTTTAAATAGAGGTACCACTGAGCAAAAATGTTGAACTATCTATTTTGGAATGTTTGGAGCGATTACAACATATATTCCTGTAGGAACTTCTCTAGTGCGTGGTAGAGATGCGGCCTTACACCAACCAGACCGTGGTCCTCATCTGTGTAGCTCTGGAAAATAGAAAAGAAGTTTATGTCCAAATGCCTAAATTATTCCTTCTCAATGGGCCTATAACTGACTAGGTATTACCTAGAAGAAGAACTATCTAGAAGGTTTAAAGATCAGCAAGAGTTGGCATAGACTGGTAACAGTTAGAATACAACACATAACATAACATACCATCACGCCTTAATCCCCAAAGAGGTAGGCAGAGGTGCCCATTATGGCATTTAATGCCACTGTACAATGTAACACCCACTTTTTAATATTTATGTTATAAGTCTCATGTAATATAATAAGGGGTGAGCCTATTGCCATATACTACTGAGATTTTTTGCAAAAACCCAGTAATACTTTACTCGACCCGGAAATTGAACCCGAAACCCCTTGTCTGGCAGACACACTTGCGACCACTCGGCCAAGCAGGCAATCAGAATACAAGTTAGAATATAAAATTTGTATTAATATAATTTGTGCTGTATTTAATACAGCATACATTTAAGAGATGCCGGTATCTATAACTTAATTCTGTCTAAACCGACATCAAAATTAGCTTTCAAGATATATGATGCCTAATTATCAAATATATTAAGTTAAGATCTTAATTATAACTTATTTTTTGTTATTTACTTTCACTATGGGGCTAGTATCATTGCTTTGCGATTAAACTGTCAAACACCAAGGGGTCACCGGTGACCGCAATCTATTGTTCTATAATTGTGTCTATAATGATGGTGCTCGACGAGTTAAAGCCTTTTTTTCTAATAAAGAAAAAAGATTAGCAACGTCAATATTACTTGACAATTTAGAACGTTATACCCATTAGATATTATAAATTACTTTAAACCTTACACCTTAACATTGAAAGACTAAAATACTACAAAAATTAAAGATACCGTTGTAACGTATGGCCCGCACCGATACCTGCAGTATATCAAGTTAAAGTGATCGTTGGTCCCGAGGGCGGCACTGCTGAGCCAGCGAATGTTCCAGAACCCATTATTTATATAAACGACCAGATATTTCTTCGCACATTATTTCTCCATGTTCAGAGTAACTTCACAATCGCCACGGATTTACTTTTCTTTTTACGTTGTAAGGCAAGGGTTAAATTGAGACCAGATTTAACAAACCTCTTCTAAATTTAAAGATAGGTGACATTTAACAACATTTTGGTTTTTATCAACCCATAAAATAAATGACACACTACAGTACCAATACGAGGTTAGCCTAGCCCATCGTGGTCCGAACTGCGTCAGAACCTTGTCGCGGTAATTGAAGGAGACCTCTCGCTTCCCTGCGTATTATACGCAATGTTGAAGAGCGAGAAAACATGAGCGGCAGTGGCCTTCTTCTGCGAATGCGTAATATCACAGAAGGAGGCGACAGAGCGCGAGAAAGAGGAAGATGCTCTCACCCCTGCGCTTCGATGACGCAGAATTGGTAGGAGAAGACGGCAATACAACCGCCTTCTCCCCCCTGGGGGTGAATATCGGGTGGTAGGCGCAGGGGCGCCTACATCCGCATTGCACTATCCACCTTTTGCGGGAAGGGAACGGTTGGCATACGACCGTTCCCGAGGCCCCTCGAGATAGGGAGGGGTGTGATATGGCCCGCCATCACATTATTGGCAGGCTTAGCCGAGGGGGTCCTGGTCGTAAAGGTTCATCCAGTCTCCCAGACCCCCTCACATGGCGACGTTGGTGTGCTCCTAGGTTTTAGTGGGTATGGCTTCTCCCGGAGAACCCCCACATATCCCTCCCATCCCCCCACGGGAGGATGATAAATAAAGTATTTACCCAGGGTAAAAAAAGGGGGCTACGTCACGTTTAGTGATTCTTATCTAAGTGATAGTTTAGTGATAATTATAAAAAATACCATTGTATCTTATTCTATGGAGGTTCCTTTTGAACCTATTTTGCTAGATATCTAGATCATACCTTTCTAAAATTAGAATATAGGGGATTGTTTTTAAAATATTACCATAGAGTTTATTTTCGCAAAAGAAACTTACGTGCTGCTTTATGGTAACAGTTAAATACTGTTGTTCAGTAATCGGTGATCTATTTCAGAAATATTAAAACCTAATCAAACCCTGTTTAAGAAACTCCGCATAATTGCCATTATATTTCTTACCATTTGCGTAAAGTAGACATCTCGCCTCTGCAACAGCCTAGACAGCAACATGGCGTGTTGATAGTGCACATTGTCGTCAGCTGTGCCATGGATCAAGAAGTAGCTCTTGTCACGAAGGGACGCCGCCTGAAGAATTATTGTGTAAGACGTAAGACCAGGCTTTTATACCTTGAAAATTTTGTCAGAAAATAATGAGACACTCATTTAGTTTAGTGAACTCTCTGCGTTTTCCGAATATCGTTTTTGTACTCACGTAACTTAAGTTTCAAATTTTCAATTATATAAATAGTAAGATATCGTACCACTTGATCGGTGAGAAGGGAGGACGTTGCATAGCCCTCAGCATTGTCATCCACCCGTGGGAGGCCCATGTAACGTTCGGTGTAGATAGTATCTGAAAACCATATGTAGTTAATTACAACCAATCTCTAACGCTCTATAGAGGATTATTAAGAACCTGTAGAATTGGGATTCATAAAAAAGCATACAACAAGAAATTAACTAAAAATTGGACCAGGCAGATATTTATAATACTTTTCTAAGTCCAAATATAATTCAAGCTCAAATCTGAAGCCAACTAACATAAAACCAGGCGAGATAGTGGTCAAACGTCGGCACTTCAGATATTAAAAAAAGCTATCTGCCTACGATATTAATTTTGATCAGAAAACAAATCCTGTTCAGTCTAAAAAATTACAATTAGTTGAAGATAGATTTTGTTCTTATGTATAGTTAATACGAGACTACGTGTGCATTTCACAAGTCTAGTTACCATAGAATCTCCAGTCGACCACAGGAGCGACGGCTGCAGCACATCTGAAGACATCGCCTCCTTCAGCCAGTGCTTTACTTGCCGCGTAGCCTCCGTAAGACCAACCCCAGATACAGGTCCGGTTGGCATCGATCCATGGGAAATTGTCTTGAATATATCTAAAAAAGAGTTGATTTTAGGTTAAAGTAGGTTTTGTTGTAATACACTCAGTACGTGTTTGTGCTCTTATCGAACGGTAGATAGTAAACGAAAGGGTATGAAAATAACAACTGAAATCAAAAAAATTGAACAATTTCAAATAAATTTTCTTGTGTGCTCTTTAAGTTGACATAAAAACTTTGTTATTTTTTTAATTTAAAATATTGCTCTAGATAATTTGATCGATAGTTTTTTATTACAGTGAGTCTAATAAAATTAACATGGACAAATGGATACTTCTTATGGGAGAAGATCCTTTTTATGGAAGCAAAAATGTTCGGCGTATTCTGGTCACTAGACATTCAAGAATTCTTTCAAACTAAATGTAAATTTAATTCCAATGCACAAAATTAGACTTACTTTGCGCCAAAGATCTGGTCCTCAACCTCAACGGTTCCGAGTCTCCTGTTCAAGGCGAACATGTTTGCGACTCCTCTCAAGCCGGATCCTCTGCCATCAATATGAGCCACAGCAATACCCCAACGAGTGACTAGAGAACTGCCCCAGTCAAGGCTCCATTGCCTCGTCACTAGAGCCGTGTCGGGACCACCGTACCTAGAAATAGATTAAGGTTATGTTAAACGGGTATTAAATGATTTAATGCAAAACTTTTCAAATGTGATGGAAAATAGTGATCACTGGGTTCTAGTGATATCAAATAAGACAATGATGATGGCCCATTGTGGTAGCCCATTAACTCGTCGAGTACCGGTTTTACAGACACAATTATAGAACAATAGGTTGCGGTCACCGGTGACCGCTTGGTATTTGACAGTTTAACCACGTATTTTACTAAAGTATTAAAATTGCTATTTTGAAAAGTATAATTTTAAAGTAATCATTACATTGCTATCGATTAATTACTGTGATCAAAACTAATTTGGGATAATAAAGAAGTTCTGTCAAAAATACTTACACATAGACGAGCAGTGGTACGTTAGTTCTTAGAGCATAGTCGGCAGGTGCCTGGATGTGGATATCAGAGCTCGTCTGACCTAGTGACGTAGGTATTTGTGCTCGGATAGTCACGGGTAGCGTGTGGTTAGCCATGAGAGCTGACAGATCCGCACCGTCGTCCCAAACGCGCAGCAGTTCACCGTTCTGAAAGCAATAGGGTTTAAAATTAGGAAGTGGTCATTAGATAAATCTCATCATTAACGTCAACAGCCTATAAATGCTCACTGATGAGCAAAGCTTCTTCTCACACGGAGAAGGCTTAAGCATTAATTACCACGCTTGCTCAATGCGGGTTGGTGATTTCAAACTTACAAGTAGAATATAAAAATATAAGCGATAAATTAGAGTATAAGCCTAGGTTTCCTCACGATGTTTTCCTTCACCGTTTGTCAGTGGTGTCTAAATAAACTTAGAAAGTACATATAACTTGGAAAATGTCACATTGGTACTTGCCGTTGGTAGGTTTCGAACCCGCACCCTCATGCATGAGAAACGGGCGTCTTAAACCTCCGGGCCACCACGACATTAGATAAATAACTCACCTCGATTTACATAAATGACACAAATTCTACAAAAATTGGACCAATCATTTTGAGCTTACCTCCTCAAATGGAACCACGATACTTTTTCTTAGTAAAGTGGATTTTACAACAAAATGCAGGAAAAGGGCTTACAGTTTTGTAGATAAAGATTTGTGGTACATCAGGTCCGGCACAGTTAATGGTGATTCTGTCTCCAGAAGTGCTGACGGTGCCTTCATTGTAGAGGCATTCACCTCCGTCCGTCCGACGAATGTTGCAAGTGAAGCAGGAGATGTGACCCTGAGAGTTCGCTGAGAATATGTGCTGTTCCCGAGAATCACTAACGCTTGTTGCTTTGTACCAGCTGGAAAAAGTAAAAAAATATTATAAATTATTTTCCTCGAAAAAATATTTTGTTATATTTTAGTGTAAGACTAACACTGGTTAGTATTTTATCCTTAGTCATTTATAAATTACAACCTTATCCAGACCCGGGACAAATGAACTTGAACCACTCTCCAAGCTTCTAGGCAGGAGCTTGATAGGAACCAAGCGAGGTGATTATGGCATACCTCACTTACGTAAAGAACCTATGAGGTGCTTACCTAGGGTGCTCTTAAGGTTCCACCTCTGGTGTATTTTTTAAGTTTATATACTTACATAACATCGTCAGAACCCCAGGCAAGGATCTCAAGAACTGTGTGAGGGCTGTTGACGCGATTAATGGTAGCAGCAACACCTTCAGTAACTTGAACAATTTGCTTGAACAGGACACCTTCGACGGCCTAAAAATAGACATAAGAAGAAATTAGGAAACCACAGTTTTATAAAAGCTAATACCTATTGTTTGATAATATACTAGAATTGGTGCCTTATGTACTGAAATTATAAAAAAAAAGTATTATTTTCTTCCTAAATTAGATGGTTGTATTGATATTTTGCTAAACTCTATAACCATTAATTATGTGTATGTAACTATGTGTTCGTGCTACTGTGCAGTTCTATAATAAAGTATGGTAAACTCAGAAAAACTAAAATATTGAATAACACGACATCTGTTCACTTTCCTTCGAACCAATAAATAAAGAAATAAGTTTACAAACATTGCTAAGAGATGGCGCTACGAGTATAATACTAAACTTACTTGGGGCAGAATAGTGATGAAAGAATTTCCAGCATCGTTGAAGAAGAACGGAATGTTGTCAATCCAACCGTTGGTCTCAGCGTAATTGAACACCTGAAAATGGATTTAATGCCTTGAGTATTATCTCTCAGTCTACCTTGGGGTGATACACAGCTGATAATTTGTAAATGAAAAGTGCCAATATTTTAAACACATGGCTTATTAATAACTGGTACATAATATAACGTCACATTTTTTCCAGGAGGAGTAGGTAGACGTCCACATTAAGGTATACATAAGTATTTACGTGTACATCAGAACCATGTTTCGGTATGAATGGGCTGATTCCACCGGAGTGATACCACGGCCACACGGAATACCGGCGTGAAACAACGCTTGCGTTGTGTCACCAGTAACTCAACTCCCCCTCCAAAATCTCCCCAATTCTTAAATCCCTCAAAAGGCAACGCTCCAGTAACTCCTCTGATAATTTGAGGGGTCTATGCCCGGTTACGATTGCTTACCATCAGGTGCTACGACACGTTTGACGGCATATTACTTAAAACATCTACGTTTTGAAATTGTTTCTTTGTTGATTAACCTTAAATGAAGACTATTATGATACTGACCGTTGTGCAAGTATTTGAACCAGCCGTGCAGCGTTGCACCCTTAGAGAAGTTTGCACCCTGTTTGTCCACACCAAGGCAATCGCTGAGTTAGTTATGAACTTCACTGTCTTCAAAATAGGCCTGAAATACAGATAAATTATAAGTTTTAGTAAACAAAATTTAATAGCCTTATTGTCCGATTCATCGTTTATGACGAAAAAAAGGAGTAGGTTTGAGATAAAATGACTTTTAATAGTATTAATTTAAGCTTAAAAATTGATTGTTTGCTAGTTTACCAAGTAAATAAATTATTTTTCTTTTCATTTTCCGTACGTAACTTCTGTACATATTTACACGACGTAACACGCCTTTTATCCCTAAAGGGGTAGGCAGAGGTGCACATTACCTTCGGTACTTAATGCCTCATATACTTGTTCCAAATTATTAACTATTGATTATTTATACTACGTCCATTGTTACTTACTCATTTATGTCAGTGGGAGCGTTATACACGTTCTCAAGATTCGTGGTCAAATCCAACAGAGTTACCCTTACTTCTGGGTTGGTAGTGCCAGGCTGCAACAAAATAATTTAAATTAAGTATATATTTTTTTTAATTTATTCATTTTCTACTTTCCCGCCTGTGGGGTTGTATGAGGTTTCTGTCAAGTGACCTGACTTTGTTATTCTGGGATAAACGTCGCCTTTGTTACTCTTATAAAAGTTTATCAGTGGTAAAATATTATTCAATTATTCATATTGGTTCTTAAATTGGCCGCAAAAAGCTTTACATAGAAAGGAGTGGAAGGAGGATAGGGAGGCCTTTGTCCTGCAGTGGGATTATCTTAACTGAAAATAAATAAATAATAAATAAATAAAATAATAATATTGGTTCTGTATGTGAGGAGAGAATTGAATACAAACGACAAATAACAAATGTATTACCAATTACAGGGTCTTTTATCTTGCTCAAATGCAAATTTGGTTGTGCTTTAAATAGAGTAATCTTTATAATATAATGCTCACACAACCTTAGCACCTTTCTAGATTTATAATGTCACTAAACTAAACAATTCAGTTCAATTTGTTTTTCATAGCAAAAATGTTCAATCAAAATGGAGTAGAATCGAGAACTAATACCAGTAAGTTAACAATCGTCACGTTCTAAACAATAGACTCGTGTCAGAGACTCAGCTTATTATGTAGGCATTAACCACTTTATAAATGTATTGCAATCACTATAATTGAGAATAACAAAGTATATCGAAATGTTTATAGAATCATAATAATTATAATGACACAACCATAGATGTTATAAAATCTTTTTAAAATTTATGTGATTACAACTTTTTTGCTTCGGAAAATTATAGAGATGATATCAGCACATACTATTTGTCGCTAGTTATCTTAAGAGCCGCTAGTAGCCAAATAAACTAAGATTCATAGGTCAAGTACTAACCAATTGACTAAAAAATCGTTTTAAAAAACTAACTTATTTACGCATAAAGTCGGTGGAACAAATAGCTTTTGTTTCATCGACTTTATTTCATGAATTTAAAATATAGTTATTAAACATTATGTTATGTTTCTCATTTCCTTTTTATATGTGTACTTCTTTATGTATTAATGGTGTAGGTTAAAGAAAATAAAGATTATTTTATTCTATTAAACATACAATTTAAATAAGGATTCCAAGAAGCAATTAATAATGAATCTTTTCACAATACCATAAATCACAATTCACAATATCATGAATAGAAGTTAGTCTATCAAACGTTATAGTAAAATCCAATTCTCTCTGAAAACTAGAAAGCCAGTGAAGCAATTAGCTTATGGAATTGAGTTTGTCGAGGTTATATGCAATTTGAACTAGTCTAGCTCCAGTTCATTATAACTTGAGACGTTTATTGAAGTTTCCAATGATTAAGGTGATGTTTGGGAAACTTGACTTGGAAGGAGGAATAAATCTTTAGTTTCTGACTTGACAAGTGGTTAAAGTTTATGCAGCTCATGATTCATTTATGACTAGCGAAGCATCTGATAATGAACAGCCAAACATCCACTTCTCAGTTTCAATTGCAGAGTGAATTTTTTTATTAAAAATTTATAGTATTTAGAAATAACCGTTCTATAAGTATGACGGCGCAGCCACAGCACCGTTTATTATTTGTTTTGGAACTAGAATGACATCTAGCACAGAAGTCATTCTGACGGAGCGTCATGTCGAGAACAGCGCCGCCATATTTTTGAACCAGGCTACGGTTATGAATGGCGTGCGCGAGACATCTCCGACGAACCGTCAAAGTTCCGCACAACCTTATAATTTTTCATAAAGTTAGTTAGATTAGTGATTAAAAAGACATTACATTGTGACTCGGTTATCTTATTATATGCTCAAATATCCACGTAATGGCCGATCCTGATGCAGGCGGGGAAATGCCTATAAGTATTTAATCTAACACGTATATTGACAGCAGAATATAAAGAAAATTGTTATTTTCAAACCGCAAACTCCCTTAGCTAGAAGAAGCCTATAGTCTAATAGACTAAGACTGTGACAAGCTAGACAGACGTACCAAATAAGATATTCTTTCGCATACGAAAGAAGATCATGTCATAGCATTGCTTATCTTCCAGCTGATGAAGACGTTGGTGATAGCCATAAAAGGTATCCATATCCTACCTTGGGGTACCGGATCTGAGAATGACGAGTGTATTGATAATTCGGATCTCCGGGAATACCGTAGTGGGGGACCCTCATCACTTCCACAGCAGTATCGTCGAAGGTGACGTACGTCATTTTGGTATTATCTTTGGAGAACCATATAGCATTGCTCGAACCAAATACTTCCTCTGTAAATAAAGTTAAGTCAATATTAGTAACGGTGACATAATAAATAAGGAAATCAATTATATGTCATATCATTGGTTCTAATGGTTTGGGTTGACTGAGTTTTATTGTTTGTTATCTAGATTTTTACTGTATTTTTGGTTTTTAAACAAACAAAAACGTAGTTACCTTCGTATACCCAATCGGGGATACCGTGGTACTTGATATTCAATACACCGTCATCTGTGATCCGACGAGGAGTATCTCTTAAAGAAGCCTGGTAGTAGATATCGTTCCGGTAGACGAAAGCCAAAGATGTTCCTGAGGGTCCCCATACGAAGTTTTGGAGGAACGCCTGGTCTCTGGCAATGCCTGGAGGAACGATGGGCACTTCTTCTTCGGTTGCAATGTTCACTGCAGTATAGCGGGCAAGGAAACTGTATCTGTACACCTGAAGTTAAATCATCATTATTATCATTTCAATCACAAGAACTGCTAAACCTAGGCTGTGTGTTGAAGGCAGGTTTCACTTAAAGCTTGGCTAATGCTTCTATTATAGTGTGAATAAAACTACGTGAACATCTAACTACCGATTAATTTAATCTTAATCCAAAATGTTCTACGTTCAAGGTAAGGAAGTCATGAAAGTGTAAGAAAAACCTCAATTGTAAAATTAGGTCAATCGTACGCTAGGAACTAGGTCAATGCAGTGTACCTATGTATAAAGTTGAATTTTCTCAACAGTATGTTCCTTTCTTTATACTAACTTTAAAAGTTTTTAAACTAGTTAGCTTGTCGGAACACTTTTACTTGCCCTCTGAATTTTTCCCTTTAAATCTTATGTTACCTACTATGTATGTACACGTCATATCTAAATAATATGCTGTACTTGTTTTATGTTGCTGTTTTCCTACAAATTCGAAATGCCTTACCGTTTTCTTAAGTAAAATTGAATTATTCAGCTAAATAAAGTCACTTCCATAATCCTTGATTTAAATAAAAAATGGCGCCACATGAGACGGCTGAACGTGATCACGTTTAAAAAAATTGTGTTATTCATAATCCACATTTTTGTCGACATTGCTCTTATTGTTTACATTTTTATACGACTGTTTACATAGTATGAGAGGCCATTTGCGAATTCAAATGATGGTTTTGCCCGCATTTCGTAAATATATCAATGCTTTCAATGCGAGGCTCAAAAAATGTTTCATTAAAATATTTATTTGCTTTTTAGATTGAAGTTGTAAATTTTGTTATTTCGTTCGTGTCTATTTGGCAAAATTAAGAGTGTAAGCATACTGAAATTTAAACCAGTTTTTTAATACATGGCCCACATTGATTTATTAATTTTACAAAAACAAATTGTCCTATCTGCTTCACAGTTTCAGTTCAGTCAATATGAACATATTTTTGTCAACAAACATCATATTGATACATTGTGGTTATCAACCTAAGGATATTTATTAATTGTCCTATACCTTTACGAATTATAAATGTAGGCTAAAGGTAGACGTATAGAAATCAGATAGTAAACTTACCGGTGCTACATTGTATGCTAATATAACTTCATTGCCATCAGGAGACAACTGCATTACTCGGCTGGCTTCTTGCAAAATCTGAAAAAGAAACCACATTTGAAAATCTACAGAAATACAATGTATTGCTTACATAACATATTTCCTTTCCGACTTTTTTGAGTTTATTTTTATTTTTTCTCTATGTTTGGGAATGTGGGAGAACCATGCTTCACGAATGGGCTCTTCTCCCTAAAACCCAACAATCCTCAAACTAATAATCCCCAAAAGACCGATAACGCACTTGTAACGCCTCTAGTGTTTCAGGTGTCCATGGTTGACGCCGATTGCTTACCATCAGGTGATCCGTTTGCTTGTTTACCGGTTTATGCCATAAAAAAGGAATGTTTGCTGTCTTTAAAATTATTTAGGGTTTCATTGTTTTCTTTTTCTTTTTTTTGTGATTGTATTGCGGCATTGTGCTTTGTGTCAAATAAATGTGTTTTCTTTCATTAAACATAATATTATATAGATTTAATCAGAGGTCAACATTAGATGTTACCTACTTCTTCGAGAACTATATGCTAGTCTTATATATAGAATTATCGAGCACAATTGTTAACTCCGTGGCATGAAACATTGCCAACCCAGGAATCGAACCAAAAAATACTTATTCTTATTGCATGTGCAACTTTCTAGCAGCAAGATTATTTACATAAGTATTAACATAACATCACGCCTTTAATCCCCGAACAGGTAGGCAAAGGTGCACATTACGGCACTCAATGCCACTGAACAATGTACACTGTACCCACTTTTCACTATTTATGTTATGAGTCCCATGTAATAGGGGGTGAGCCTATTGCCATATACCGGGCATAATTCCAGACTGCATGCTACCACTGAGTTTTTTTTTTGTGAAAACCCAGTAATACTTTGATTCTTTGAACTCTTGCCTAGCAGTCGCACTTGCATATACTCGGCCAACGAGGCAGTCCAGTATAAACACTCAATAAAAATAGCATTTGCACCATTCCAAAAAAAATGTTATTCTTAAGTGACAAATTGTGCTAACGGATAGATATTCAATTAAGTAAATTAATACAAAATTCAAAATATCACCAGTCTAGGAGCCCTTTACATTGAGGCTAAGGTTTTCCAGTAACTAAAGGTGAATACTTAATTTACAGTTATTATCTAAATACTATAAGTTAAGTCGAGGTTGCCCGGAGGTTTAAGACGCCCACTTCTCGTGCATGAGGGTTCGAAACCTACCAACGGCATGTACCAATATGACTTTTTCCGAGTTAAATGTACTTTCTAAGAATATCTAGACACCACTGACAAACGGTGAAGGAAAACATCGTGAGGAAACCTAGGCTTATAATTTCTAATTATAAGTCTGTAATCGCTAACCCGCATTGAGCAAGCGTGGTGATTAATGCTCAAACCTTCTCCGTGTGAGAAGACACTGTGCTCAGCAGTGGGCATTTATAGGCTGTTGATGATGATGATCTAAATACTTGTTCAAATTCTATCTATCTAAACCCACAACCTATATGGTTTTTATCACAAATGACAATAATTCACTCATAATACAGTAACATAGTTATTAATTTTATTTAACAGACCTCTTTCTACCTTTTGCCACCAATCAAATTGAAAATAATCATAACTGAAAAAAAAACCTTCCATAACGTATTTTCCAACTGTTTGCACTAATACCATTTTATTATCGAATAGCGAGTATTTATTAGCTCTCTCTCGCTTACGTCCCAAAATTGAAGCGAGACAGAGCTGTTAGATATTTGCAACTATATTAGCGTAGTGCGAAAAGGCCATAACGTGCATATGACGTCTTTAAAAATCTATTGGAGCAATATTTTCCCGCAAACGCAAGCACCTAGACTCAAGAGCCTTTAAAACTTAATTTGCGAGACCGAATTGCCTCGGAAATCAACGTGCAGGTTGCGGAAAGGTACAAAATTTCCAATTTCTCTTACATGTTATAGTTGACGATATAATAAAATATATAGTTAAAGTAACAACATAGTACTATTTGTACTTGTTTTTAAAACACTAGCTTTTGCCCGCGACTTCGTACACGTAATCCCGTTTACTCCCGTTCCCGGAGGTTTTTCAGGAATTTTTCTGTCATAAAAACTCCTGACAATAACAAGCACAACAAAAAATATCATCCAAATCGGTCTAGTCGTTTTCAAGTTATGGCGTGACAACGGGAAACGGGTTTCATTTTTATATATATAGATAATAATAATGTAGCAATCATGATTCACTAAACATAGTTGATGCCTGTTTTCATGAACCACTCCAAAATTTTAACGAACTCCTAAACTAAGATAGGTGAGGTTTAGGTGTGAGAAAGCCATGCTTTGACACGAATGGGCCGCCTCGACCAGAGTGATACCACGGCCTCACAGAAAACCGACGTGAAGAACGCTTGCGTTGTGTTTCGTCATAATAATATGAGTGAAGTTACTGAAGGCCCAATGACCCCAACAGTCCTCAAGTTTGTAAACCCTAAAAGGCCGGTAACGCACTTATAACGCCCCTGGTGTTTCGGGTGACCAAGGGCGACGCAGATTGCTTACAATCAGGTGAATTGATTTTGAATTGTTTTCAAAAACGACGAGTACAATTTTGTAATTAGATAATATTCTATCCGATAAATTGTACCATAATTATCTTGATGCTTAATTATTATTATTCCTACCGATTACTCAATGTTGGAAAATATATCAAGTAAGAAAGTACTTCTTGAGATCAACCCTCCATCTTGTCTCATTAAAGCTAGATTTAGGAACTAATTAACAAGTTTAAATTGGAAAAGTCTAGCGTAGTTAAAGTAGTTGACTTATTTATTTACATACTTTTGTACTTATTTAGTTTAATTACAAAGAAGATAGCAACTATGTTTTAGTTTTTGAATAGATATTGCTCGTTTATTATTAGTCTACGGTTTTTTTTTTGTTGAAGAGGGAAACCTTATGAAGTCACCTATCTTTTTGGGGAAGAAGATTAGGAAGTGTGGGATTTTTACCTGACTAAAACCATGCCATCATATCTCATAAAATGCTGGGTTTTCTAAAAATGTATTACAGTTACAGTACTGACCTTAGATGTGTTGGAAATTATAGGCATCGGGCTGTCGCTATCCACGTCATACAGCACCAAGTCGCCATTGGCGTTTCGGAACAACAGTTCGCTACCTGTAATCAAATCACATATTAAGGATAAATAATCATAACTTATGAGAGAATGCTAAAAGATAGAACCTTCTCCGTGTGATACCTTCGAACCTGTGGTCGGCTGTTATTGTGATGAGAAGTGTATTCACTTCTATCGTATCCTATTGGTTATGATAACGAAATCCCCCTAGTACTCAATATATGAACGTACCTATAATATGTAAAACGTCAAATAACGAAACAACGTATTTTAAAATTTATTTGTCATCTTCATATATGTAGGTACTTATATAAATCTATGTTATTATCCTCTTTGTTTATATTACTTATTATTAGTTTGTTTGTTTTGAATACGTTAATCTCCGGAACTACTAAATCGATTTCAATAATTATTTTTGTGTTAGATTGTCTTATTCATTGAGAAAGGTTATACAATGCTACGATCAGAAGGGCCGTGCAGTAGGTGAAATAACTCATAAATAACTTGACAACATAGGAGTAAGTCATGATATACAGAATAACAGTCTCACTTGAACTTGTTACGTTCCCCATACAAGAGCAGAATAAAGCCCGTCACACACAGTTCAAAGAAAAGTAGGCCGGCCCATTCACCGGGCATCTCATTCAAGTCGACCGGAACTTCCAAAAGGTTGACACTTCCTTGAAATATATTTTCTGTGGTAGATTTCGTACAATTTATAAAGTACATATTCCACAAAGGGGTAAGTAGAGATGCACATTAAAGTTCACTTAATTTTTTTCACGAGGTAGGTAAAATTTTATATTATTTAATTTTATGTTAATATATTGCTGTGTGTGCCTGAGGGTGCGAGTTCGAAACCTACCATCGGCAGTACCAATGTGACTTTTTCCAAGTGATATGTACTTTCTAACATTATTTAGACACCACTGACAAACGGTGAAGGAAAACATCGTAAGGAAACCTGAAATTATAATTTCTAATTGTAACTTTGAAATCGCCAATCCGCATTGAGCAAGCGTGGTGATTAATGCACAAACCTTCTCCGCGTGACAAGAGGCTTTGCTCAGCAGTGGACATTTATAGGCTGTTTATGTATGTATTGCTGTGGGCATGGCAAATCATATTTATTTGCTCAAGCACATATGTACATACAATAAACAATCGCATGTAAGATAGCGGGTAGCAGTGAAAAAAGTCACGCCTAAGCAGCTCTTTGTGTGATCCACAGATTGTTGTTTCACGTCGGGCTTCTGTGAGGCTGTGGTATCACTCCGGTCGAGCCGGCCCATTCGTGCCGAAGCATGGCTCTCTCACACGCTGATACGTGATTTAGAGTTACTTCTGGACTATACAAAACTGGTCATATGCAGTCATAACTCATATTAAGCCAAATTAGATTTGTAACACCTTTCTAGGCAGTCACACATGGAATCACTGCAGATTATGTATACAAAATGTATCTACTAAACGTCTTAATAATGTGAACAAATAAGGAAAAATAACTACATTTTATTCAGATAGGTACAAAGTCATTGACTTTCGTTTATACAATATATACAAGTTTAAAGTTTATGTTGTTGTCAGTTGCCAGTGCGGCATACTTTTTCTTGTTATTTAAATACTAGCTTTTACCCGCGGCTTCGCTCGCGTCACAAAAGGATAAAAAGTAGTCTATGTGACACATACCAATACATACAGCGCCATCTATACCAATACTTTTGTTTTCCCTCGGGAATATCAAATTTTTTCGGGATAAAAAGTACCCTATTATTTAATCCAGACTACTAACTTTACGTCTGCAAAAATTCAATGCAATCGGTTTAGTAATTACGGCGTGAAGTTGGAACAAACAAACAAACAAACAAACTCACTTTCCCATTTATAATATAAAATGTAAGGAAGGATAAGGATTTTATTTTATTTATTTTTTTATTTATATTGCTTATTTTTTAGTGTATGTGAATGCCATATGTATGTGAAGTTGTTTATTTGAATGTGCACCCACGACACAGGAGAAGATGCTAGTGTGTGGCGACGTAAAAAAATCCTACTCATTTCAAATAATCTCAGTACTTAATACTTTCCGTTTCTCACTAGTTGAACTTGCAACTATTTGTCCAACGATGCAATCAAATTGCAATGAACCTAGAGGTATTCATGTTTTATTTATTTGTATCAAGGTCAATAACAGAACCGGTTTTGTTGTTATTCTATTTGCAGATACATAAATCAGCAGCAGATTATTATAGCGCTTTGTAGTAGGTATGAAAAGTATGGTTTCTTTTTGTGTGTTAATTTAAATTTTGTAATACACAAATGTATCTGTAGAACACGATGTTTTTAACAAAAATCCATTGGGATATTCCTTAATCAAAAATAAATTATTTCGAATGTTCAATTCAATAAAATACAAAAAAAAAGAATCACACTTTCATTAATGGATTTTATGACGAATTTAATTTTAATATTTTTCCAGCAATTTCTTAAGAAATTGGGCTCGCTGCCATCACAGCGGTAAGTCCCCTCTTTGAGGAGTGGCTTGAGAGACGCTACGGCGTCCTCACCTACCGCCTGACGCAGGTCCTCACCGGACATGGGAGTTTCGGGAGGTACCTGTGTCTGATGGGGCGGGAGGAAACGTCCGGGTGTCATCACTGCGAGGACCGCCCTGAGGACACGGTGGAACACACTGTCGCGGAATGCCCTACGTGGGCTGAGCACCGCCGTGTCCTCAGGGAAGTGATCGGCGATGGCGACCTCTCGCGTCCGGACCTAGTGCAGGCAATGATGCGGAGCGAGGGGGACTGGGAAGCCGTCTCCTCCTTTTGCGAAGCAGTCATGCTAGCTAAGGAGGAGGCGGGACGCGTGAGGCAGCGAAGCGCTGCCTCCTCACAACCCAGCCATCGCGAAGGACACACCGGGCGTCGGGGATCACGGGACGATCTCCGGCCACCGTAAGCGCGGGCCTGCGGACGGCGAGCATGGGTGGCTCCCCGTCCGACCAGAAACAGACCCGAGCGTACGGCGCGTCGCGTTCCGCGCGCGCCTCAAAGAGCCATCAGACCACCACAGATGGGGCCCAATAGGGCCGATGCCGATTCGGAGTCGCGGAGAACCTAACGGGTAACCGGGGCTCCGGCTCGATGTGCAGGAGAAGGAACGGGGTGGTTTTTAGTCAGTAAGAGTCTGACACTCCCTCCCGCCTCACCCAGGCGGGAGCAGTAATTCGATGATTTTCCCCCCCTAAAAAAAAAAAAGTGTTAAGAAATGTGTAAGCTGCTTGAGGCTAAAAAAACGTGACGTCACAATACACAATCTCGTACAAAATTTATAGAAAACTGACTAGTTGGCAAGTATCCAATACTATTTCTTCTTAATAAATTTCATAATAATTGAAACTACATTCTACATTAAAAAATAAGCAAGATAAAATATTTAACAGGAAAAGTATGCCGCACTGGCAACTGACAACAACATAAACTTTAAACTTGTATATATTGTATAAACGAAAGTCAATGACTTTCTACCTATCTGAATAAAATGTAGTTATTTTTCCTTATTTGTTCACATTATTAAGACGTTTAGTAGATACATTTTGTATACATAATCTGCAGTGATTCCATGTGTGACTGCCTAGAAAGGTGTTACAAATCCAATTTCGCTTAGTATGACTGCATATGACCAGTTTTGTATACTATACAAAACTGGTCCAGACTGGTACAGTGTCCAGAAGTAACTCCAAATAACGTATCAGTGTGTGAGAGAGCCATGCTTCGGCACGAATGGGCCGGCTCGACCGGAGTGATACCACGGCCTCACAGAAGCCCGACGTGAAACAACGTTGTGTTGTGTTTCGTCGTGTGAGTGATGTTACCGGAGGCCCAATTACCCCTTCCCTCCCTTTCCCCAATCCCTGAATTCCCAACAATCCTCAAATTCCTAATCCAGAAGGCCGGTAACACACTTGTAACGCCTCTAGTGTTCCAGGTGTCCATGGACGACGCTGATTGCTAATCAGGTGATCCGTCTCATCGTTTACTGGCTTATCCCATAAAAAAATAAACAAAAGAACAAATTGTAATTGACCAAGTGACCTTTCCAGTTTTTAGTTTTAACCTCAGATTTGCATAACAAAAGCAATTTAAGTTCATATATGGAAGGTCTGTGACGTAATGTGTATTTGGGCAATCTGTATGATTATAGTCAGCAAGACCAACTCGTTTGTTTATGTAATTATTTCACAAAAAAACAGCACGCAATGCTGTCAGTTTTAATGCAAAATTATTGTTGTTTATACTTTATATTGTAGCCCAACCAGTTTCGTAAAATGATAATAATGTGATTATGGAGAATGGACGTAAAAAGGGGTTTTTGTATAAAGTATACTCAGATTTTCTCTGACGTAGGTAGGTACTTAAATCGTTTTTACACTATTTGTTTACTTATCAGAAAACAATCTGTTCAAACCACAAACAGCGGCAGTTGATATGCCTTTAACTGCTGACCAAATCTGTTGTAGGCTAACCATCCGCTAGTGACGATGGTCATTGATCAACTCTGCGCTGGCATACAATATTTTTAAATTTTCAATAACTAAATATACATACTTGTTGCCCATGTGGCGTTGAAAGACGGTGGCGAGAACACTCCATCAATGATATCTTCCAAATCCAGTGGTCCAGGACCTTCACTTGGAGATTCTGTAGTCGTCGTTGTTGTTGTCGTCGTCGTTGTTGTTGTCGTAGTAGTTGAAGTTGTTGAAGTAGGCCCAGTTGTTGACGATGGAGTTAGAGGAGAAGTCGGGCCTTCCGTTGAGCCTGCTGATGTATCTGTGGTTGGCGAGACGATAGGTGAAGGTGTTGGGGTTGGGGTAGCGGCACTATCAGGAGATAACACTACGATAAGAGCTATCACAACTCCTCCTACGGCCAACATGGCGATAGTTCCGATGATGTATCCTATAGTCTTCTTACGTTTCGTTGCCACCAGGACCTGAAATTTATTCTATAGTTAGCTTGTTTATATAAGAAGTGTTTATAAATGATACACTTTTGAATGTTTATTTAATGAATATGGATAGTTAACAAAATTCACAGTACTAATAACAATAACTAACATTATAAAATCGATATATGTTTATTTATTTTAACTTCTTCACGAAAAATTACAATGAATCGCGGACTTAATGCCTTAACGCATCCTCTGACAGTCAACCATAGGGACGTGCAGAGAAATGAAGCGGATGATGCGAAGCCAGAACACAATTTCAAAACATAAAGAATGACATCGTTATACTTAGTATAGGTTATAGATTCATAAAGGAGTTACATTGAATACGTTCACTTTTCCCTTCAGATAATAAAATACATTATATTTTATAACAAGTTTATCACCCATCTATTTATTATATAATCTGAATGTAACTAGGAAGCTTGAAACACATAATAATAATAAGCCTATGTACAACAAAGAGGTATTTGAAGGTAAACTGGCCTCACCTAGACACACAGTTCTTCAAGAAGTCACAAAAAGTGATCTATATTTATCTACATTAGTTCGATCGTACAATCGATTTACGTATTAGACCTTTCTGTTGCTGATGACCGATAGACAAAATTAGTAACGTAACATTACGTCGTACCTTTTCATCTCCGAAGAGGTTTTTTTTTAAGGGGGGAAAATCATCGAGTGACTGCTCCCGCCTGGGTGAGGCGGGAGGGAGTGTCAGACTCTTACTGACTAAAAACCACCCCGTTCCTTCTCCTGCACGTCGAGCCGGAGCCCCGGTTACCCGTTAGGTTCTCCGCGACATCTCCGAAGGGGTAGGCTGACGTGCACACTATGGCACTCAATGCCACTGTACAATGTAGCACCCACATTTCACTATTTATGTTATAAGTCCCTTGTAATAGGGGGTGAGCCTATTGCCATATACCGGGCACAATTCCAAACTCCGTGCTACTATTGAATTTTTTTTAAACCCTGTAAGACTTTGCCCATCCAGGGAATCGAACCTTAGTGAATTCTCTTTAAAGAATTTTCAAAAAGAGGGGTTCTATTAGGACGGGTTAAGAGAAAACGGTAATCATTTACTTCGGGCATAATATTACAATGAAACGCGAGTTCTTCCCCAGAGATATTTCTCCTGGTTATATCTGACTTATTAGTCATACGTACAAAGATAAGTAGATCTGTTATGTTACTAACGCCCAAATATTAAAAGACTACTCAATGTTATGTTGTACTCAAATATCGTGCCATCTCTGTCATTTTCCACCGTAAGCACGGGCCTGCGGACAGTGAGCATGGGTATGATCATCGAATGTCTTCTCCCGCCCGGGTGAGGCGGGAGGGAGTGTCAGACTCTTACTGACTAAAAACCACCCCGTTCCTACCCCTGCACTTCGACCCGGAGTCCCGGTAACCCCTTAAAGTACTACGCAGCTCCGTATCGGCATCGACTAGATCCACTAAGAATATCCCAATTGTAGTTAGGTTGTTTTCACATTAACGACCTATTTCGTAATGTTTGACTAAGATTATTTTTTTGTCAAAATAACATATATTTTGATATATTTTCCGATACCGATACGAACTAGGACAAAGTATATGCTAGTTCATTTAATATTGTCAAATAGACTTTTATAATATTGTAATTAAGTCTATGTGAAGAATTTTTTCTTATTGCAGTAAAAATTTCATATTATTAAACTGTCAAACACCAACCGGTCACCGGTGACCGCAACCTATTGTTCTTTAATTGTGTCTATATTGACGGTGCTCGACGAGTTAATATTATGTTGTCCTTTGTAAAACGGTATTATATTATATTGTATATAAAAATAAGTATTAATTTCTAAATTAATAGCAATGATTTGGGTACTTTTATAGTTTTATAATGACAAAATTGCATATGTATAAGTACTATTTATCTAGACAATTTATTAATCAATTTTAAACTTTACCTCTAGCCCATTTAAGGTAGTTAATTGCGATCTAATTACCTTTAACACCTTTTATACACTTCACCAACCGATTGACAATACAAGGCAGGGATTTTTGATTTTGTTTTAAACTCTTCGACGTCGATTTGTCAAAAATATTTAATGTGTCTTGACGTCTTTGCAAGCTGAGTAAATATCGTAGAGTTAGTATTTGGTACAGTTACTAACGAGTCAACAACATTATACAATTAGTCATACTTATATTGGAATTATTTATTGTTTAAATTAAATACTTAGGCAGTGATCGGCTATGGGTTTTCCTTGAATGCACTGGTCTACAAGATTATTTAAGGTAAATAAAGAAATACGTTTATGTAAAGTTATATTTGTTTAAAGTAAAATATTATTTAATAAAGATCTGTTGTGATTTGTCTAATCAATGGTATGATTATTAATTAATAATAGTATTGTCGATAAAAAAGCTAATGATTTGGTTTATGTTTTTTTTCCAAGCGTTGATTGATTTATTTATTTAGTAATTCATATTCATATTCATTCATATTATTTTATCATTTGCAAACATGGATACATAACATAGGTGTTAACAAATTTTACAGTTTCTCCATATTTTGCCTTCACTTGGCATGCAAAGATATATTATAAAAAGTAATTATAATAATAAAAATAGGTTCATTGAATTAAATTATTATCTACAAACAATTGTGTAAATAATAATGTCAAAGAAATTAGAGTTATTCATACCACTGGAGTCAAAAATACCTAATGTCAAATTAGAGAATTCAATAATGTAAAAAGGTAATTGTCAATTATAAATGTCACACAATACAAAATAATACTTTATTATGACCCTATTATATCACAATTATATACAAAACTAGACGCAACAAATGAATATTAAGTACCCATGTAGAATAAAATAAACAAAATTAAAAGAAAACATACCTACATTACTCAAGACCTCGAAAAAAGATAACACTGCAATCCAAAATCACTATTTATTTACTGATTTAAAGAAACACACAACATCACTAATAATTCATACTCCTTAACACTAAATAAAGAAAACAATTTAAATAAAATGAATCCAAATCCGCGGCCATGCCACACACGGAACAGAAATGGAATGGAGTGAACCGCGAATGAAGACCTTGGTGTTAAGATTTTTTACATATGGTTACTCCAGTGAGGTTATCGAAGGTTATCCTGTGTCCGTTGAAGTATTTAACATCAATTATAAACCAATGAGTTTACGTTTCATTGTAGTATGTAAATAAATGTAATTGAGAGTGATCTAGTTTTCTTTTGTATTTGTTTTTTATTGATGCATGTATAGTTGTTAGGAATTGTTTCGATGTAATTATAATTATGTAGGTAATACGTTATTTATTTTAATCTAGATGACCCGGCAAACTTCGTATCAGGTCTATTTTTATTTCTTACATTTTAAACCTTCCCTGGACTATTTGGTGAAAGTGTCAGAGAGACTAACGAAAAGCAATTCATTTTTAAATATATAGATTATAATAGACATTATGTTGCAATGGTATTTTTCTTAATGTTTAACAATTTTATTTTAATTAATAATTTCTTTGTCTATTTAAATATCCAGATTCATTTTTACTTTCGATCAAATAACAGATATATATGTTATGTATGTAACAGATATGTATGTACAGATTGAATATGTTAACCATAGTATCATTCATTTTGATGAAGAAATTCCTGTATTTAATTTTAATTGTCTACTAATAAATCCTGTATGTAGTGATATTTTCTAAATTAAAGAATATTAATTATTGTTTTCGGCTGAGTCGCGTATATTGGCAAATATTAATATTTTTTGTATCCAGGTATCAAATAAAGGTTTGGTCATTACCTAATTGTTTCTTGTCTCTGCGACTATTACGAAATGAGATTATTTATAAAATAATGAGTTAAAAACCTAAGAATGATGTAAGAATTTTATTAAAACTCAAACATTTCTTGTTTGTTATAGTTCTTACTGCTCTGATTAACGTAACATCATGCCGCTTTATCTTTGAAGAAATAAACAGATAGGTGTTTTTATCTCCATCTACTTTAAACCAATAATATTTCAAGTTTAGATACTATACCGTTACCAAATAACGGTTCAGAATTATATATCATATTTTTCGCAAAATTGCATAATCATTACCTACAATGGCAATCTACTTATGAAGCAGGGCATTACCTGTCTACTGCCTATCTCTGACGTAACGAAACCAGTTAAAAATCAAACACAGTTCCTAATTTAATTGACACGGCTTTGAATAAAATATTCAAAATTGAGATGGTGACAGGGTATGAAAATTAAAATATAATTAGTCCGTCAGTTGAAAAAATATTAGACACTTATTTTTTTATTTTGTCGTATAATAAAACAATACTTAGATAAAACGAATCAAAGTTTAGGAGTGGGAGCTAAAACGTCATTTCTACGTATAAAATGTACATAGAAGTGACGTCACGTGACATTTCAAATCAATATATCGTCGAAAGTATTAGTTTCTGTAAGAAAATAAAAAATAAGTGTCTAATGTCTAACGGACATTACAATAATAATTAGGCATCTACCCTATTGTAAAACGATTAATGTAAACATTTATTGAGAAAGGAACATTTATTGGGTGGAACTGGGTGGGAGGCTTTTTTTTTAAAGGGGGGAAAATCATCGAATGACTGCTCCCGCCTGGGTGAGGCGGGAGGGAGTGTCAGACTCTTACTGACTAAAAACCACCCCGTTCCTTCTCCTGCACGTCGAGCCGGAGCCCCGGTTACCCGTTAGGTTCTCCGCGACTCCGAATCGGCATCGGCCCTATTGGGCCCCATCTGTGGTGGTCTGATGGCTCTTTGAGGCGCGCGCGGAACGCGACGCGCCGTACGCTTGGGTGGGGGGCTAGCTAGTTCATAATATTAATAGGATTGTTACCTGGTCACTGGTTCCCATCTCCATAGTGGAGTTGCTGTTGTCCTGGGCCATCTTGTTTGGGGTGTAACTGTAAACAAAATAATTTCGTTATAGTAAAACAATCTTAACAATTGTAACAACGTAAGTCTTTTGATTGGGTATTATTTTCACAGAAATGAAAAATATTTAATACATCCATCCACTGCTAGATAAATAATTTCATTTAATTATATAATACTTTATTGTGCACCACAAAAATACGTCAAGATAAACACACTATTATGCAGTCTTATCGCACAAGGCTCTTGGAGAATTTTAAAAGGAGAATATGTTCTTTCTATGTTTGAGGTTTGTCAAAATCTCCATACATGGTTTATCAGATATCGCTACGGTGCTTGGTCCCTATAAAATGTGCAGTCTTTCGGTTTTTAAGACACATGCGGAAAGAGTATGAAGTATGAGTATGAGTGTACCTATTCTTCACTCATGTCACGGTACATTGACTATGTTTGGCACGTGTCTAACCCAACCTATTAGGCTTGAAGCAATTAATTGGTTTCATAAAAATTTGGTCAGTAATGTATTCAATAATTGTACAGATAATACAGTGGGACTCGGGCTATCTTAATCGTGTACTTAATCGTTATTGTTTGTCTTATCACATTGCAAGATATTGATAAAGGAAATAGTTGTTATAAATTTTTTTCTACATAATCTATGAACTCGTAAATACATAAAACGTTGCTTTCAAAAATATGTACTGGAAGTAGATTATCAGATGGTGTGAACTTGAATTAAATATGTTTGCGATTTGTCAAGTGGTGGTAGAATAGAATATCTAGGTGCTAGCCTAATTCTTCTCGCTGGATTGTAAGAACCGACTAACACATTTGCCATAGTTCGATAATTTTACCTCAGAAAAAAATCTAAACCACACATTAAAGATTTCCACTCACGGATCCATACGTATAGATTTAAAGATCATGTTGGGAATGATATATTATTATCGTAGACAAGATCCTTAGATTTTGATGAGAAAACAGAAAACATGACAGACGAAATTAAGACAAAGTTCCTAAGGACCTAGTCCTGACGAGAATAGAAACAGAAGATAAGGTTTCCTTGCTTGACAAACTGCACGGTGCACATACACTAACTTGGCCCAAGGAGACGTAGATTAAAAAGGAGCAAAATAGATTTACATTAGAGAAGGAAAATAAATAACATCTATTAAAGACATTCCGAATAAAACACACAAAGCTGACCTCAAGTAAAATGGGACAAGGACAGGAAAATTTTCAAATCCAACAGGTTGAACCAGTGATGTACAAAATTTCCAATATTCAATACACTTCAATGATCTTAAAGTACAATTTTCCGTGCCCTAAAATTCGATATCATATTTTCACATCATTGAGCTACGAGATTTGATATTTATTAAAGTACCTAGCCGCTCCACGCTTAAACTTTGTCGAAGGGAAGATGAAAACAAGGCTTATAATTTTCCTTTAGAACTATGCTATAGGGAAGTAATTATACACCACTGTTTAGCGTAGATTTTTTATAAGATAAGCCGGTACACGAGCAAATAAATCCCCTGAAGGTAAGCAATTGGCATCGCCCATGGACACCTGGAACACCAGAGGCGTTACAAATGCTTTGCCGGCCTTTTGGGGATTAGGAATTTATGGAATGTATGATATCAAATCTATAAGTACTACACAAGTTCGAAATTTGTAGAATGCATGTTCCAATCTGGCCCTAATGTATCCTAAAACTTTGACCAAATACGGAGAGGCGAAGAGCAACATTTCTTTAAACTTTGGTCACTGAACTGACGCTTGGGGAACATGGGGATTATAGCAGACCATTTTAAATACAGAAGGTCAATAGTCCAGCAGCGGACTGGTAATGGTGTTAATGTTAACAGGAAGAGAGACCTTCAACTATGTCAACCCATAGTTTGTACGGTGGCCAGCAAGTTAACCTATCCTTTTCTATCACTACTACATCTTCAACTTTATTATATTGACATAAAGTTGAAAAGCCAATGAATAAATGTCATAGTTTGGAGTAGGTTTATCTGTAAGCTATTATACTTTGTCGGTCAAAGCGTTTAAAAAAACAAATATCTTAATCTATAACATTTTTAAGTAATTATAAATTAAATAGCTTCGATATAATGTTTAAGTAGCAGATATTTTCGTTATCACCTTCAGTTAAATAGTGAAACAGATAATAAATTGCAATATCATTTCCAATCCAATCTGTTTCCGTGATCAAGTTGAATGCAACGTCTGCAACTACAATAATAACTGTTTTTAACAATAAATATTTGTAGTCACATAGACAATGTAACATGCCACGAGGTCGCTATAGGAATAAGATGTTCCACTTATCTACGGTGCCAAGTAATCCATTTAAAGATAGAAAATGCAGCAATAAGGGATTTTTAAGGGGGGAAAATCATTGAATGACTGCTCCCGCCTGTGTGTGGCGGGAGGGAGTTTCAGACTCTTACTGACTAAAAACCACCCCGTTCCTGCTCCTGCACGTCGAACCGGAGCCCCGGTAACAAGGTAACCCATTAGGTTCTCCGCGACAGCTCATGAGGTATAGAGGAAAGATTTGGTTGTACAGAAGTCCTAGTAGATGATATTAGGAACAATAGGAAATATGAGCGTCAATAGGAATTAGCATCGATAAAATTGAAAAATCGGCTTCGAAACATACTTTTACGATTCTTATCCACCGAATGATAAACTGATTGCCATTTTTTTAAGGGGGAAAATCATCGTATGGCTGCTCCCGCCTGGGTGAGGAGGGAGGGAGTGTCAGACTCTTACTGACTAAAAACCATCCCGTTCCTTCACCTGCACGTCGAGCCGGAGCCCCGGTAACCCGTTAGGTTCTCCGCGACAGTGGTATTAAGGTTAGCAATTAATGAGGGTGAGGGAGTGTACACTGATTGCCATAGAGGAGCTTCTACTCAATTCCAGATTTATCCTTCCACATCTCTTAAACGATCTATTCTTACTTAGAATTATTAACTAGGTACATTACCACTGGGAAATTACAATTTAGATATGTACATATTTTATCATTCGAAGGTCATCTATTAGCACCCGTAATAAAAAATGCACGCTCAACGTCACTGTCACTTACAGACTAAACGTACCACTGTAAGATAAAATCTTTTTAATCCACTTTAGTGTACATTTTTCTTAAATGAAGTTTTCTTACTTACCCTATTCCCACTCAAACAAAATGTACTAAATTCTAGGACCGGCCACGGCCGAATCCTCGTCACACTAAATAATTACTTGTACGAAATAAGATTATAATTATCAATCAATTCATAAAGATAAATTATATCTAGCTTAAGTTTCTAATCAACGAGATATAGATTATAAAAAAATGCAGATATCATAATTATTATAAAGATAAATAAACTAATGTCTATGTTTACTTAAATACCGTGCTGCGTGCGACATTACAACTATTTCAATATTTTTTATCTGTTTTCAAGATGGATCCGCTTGTCCGCTTCCTATAGGATATCGGCTTCGATTCTCGGATAGGGTAAAGTGCTATTGTATTTTATAGTTCCCAGTATTTATCAATAAGTATTACAACAAAGTCCTATAGCTTTTTTGTATCTTCTCTAATATTTTTGTGGTTAGCCTATGGTATCAGACTTGCTGCCTATTACTTTTTAATATAGAATAAGCCGGCCTACGACTAGATGGATCACCTGATGGTAGGTAATCAATCGGCGTTGTCCATGTACACCCGATGTACTGGAGAAGTTATCAAAACGCGACCGGCCTTTTGGGGTTATGGATTTAAGAATTGGGGATTCTTAAGATTAGAGGTGTTAAGTGGGTATTATCATCGATATTAATGTACTGCACTAAGTACCTCTACTGTGAAAAGTTAAAACAAACTACGTTCTGCCAGATTTGCCCGCGTTTTAAATGGATAAAAGTAGACTATGTATTTTTCCTGACCATAATCTATCTCTGTTTCAAATTTCATTCCGATCCCTTTAACCGTTTTGACGTGATTGAAAAACAAACAAACAAACAAACATACACACGATAACACAAATATTTCGCTTTTATAATATTGTATTAAAAGGATTATTGTGACGACAAACTGAAACAAAAAAACAGCTTCTTCTTAAACTGTCAAACACCAAGCGGTCACCGGTGACCGCAACCTATTGTTCTATAATTGTGTCTATAATGACGGTACTCGACGAGTTAATTACATTGACAATTGAATTCATAAAAAGAAATATAATTTACTTCTCGTTCAGTTTAAAAAATACAATTAAATGAACGACATTATCATAAACAGAGTTTTATTTCTATATTGATTATCTTATTATTATTATCATTCTTATCAGTGATTGTCTCGTAATTTGATTACGTCTTGCTTTATCACCGTATGATAATTAGAAAATATTTGTAATGAGTATTGATTGTATTGTTAAAACATGTTGAAGAAGTACTTACATTTATTTTTTATCATAAAATCAACAACTTTTAAACGGTCCTACTATTGGATGAAGGCAATTTTCACATGGATAAGAAATGATGTCCATTGATACTGGAGCTGCGGACGATTTACCTTTAAATAAACCATAGAGACTAAGTTTTATAGTTCTAAATCGAAATTTTGAGTCATACAGTTTTTATATCATACCCGGAACTTGTTCCCATCGGGTCGTCAGTAACAACCACCTTAAAGCGTCCTTACCTTGTTTGTAATATTTGGACTTTATTCCAATTCGATTCTCCAAAATTCGAATTGAGAATTGCTTTCGAAAATCGTTCTGTCATAAACCTTGCCAGTCTGTACGAGTATTTTTATTGGAAAATTCAAATCGAAATGATCTCGGGTGGGGATATTTTATTGAATTTATTCTGTTGACTACCATATTATATGTGGCGTGGCCTGGTTGTAAGCACAAACTGATCTTTTCTGGTAACCGCGAACTGTAAGTTCGATTCTGCGGTTAAGTATAATTAATTTTTCATTACGATAGTTAGTCTCGAAATCAATACCCAGTCATAAAGTCTT